CAGGTCCACCGTCAGCCTGGGCCCAGGTGACCTAGGGCTGTCATGGCAGTGGGGACCGGAGAGTCTGATGTTATCCTGCCGTCAGTCCGACGTCCAGAGGTGGACATGGGCAGGAATCTCTGGAAACTCGAGCTCACACCCCGGTGCGTCCTCTGCAGTCGGGCTGCTGTCCAGGGGGATGTGCCTATAAAGACCGGATGCCATGGCCAGGCTGGATGTGCATGTCTTGTTCACGGACCACTTGTTAGCATGAAAGCTTGTAAGTTCTACTTTTTGTCACTCTGATGCATGTGGACCTGTTTTCTTGGCTGTTAATGCCCAGAGAGTGCTGGAACCAAATCACATGCTGAAAGGTGGCCTGGCTTCGTCCCTCCACATCTGGCCACTTGGGGGGCATCGGGGAAGGCTCCCCCTCTCCACATGGCAGAGGGTCATCCCAGTTCTTCTCAAGGTCCTGCCCTGGCAGCTCCAGGTGAGGGGCAGAGTCGGCCTAGAGTCACCGGCCAGCTCTGTCTTGTGCCAACGCGGGGGAAACAGCCGTCTGCTCTTGGGACCCCCATCTGTTTCTCAGGCCAGTGAGAGTCCTCTTGATGTCTAAATGGCTCCAGCTGCTCTCTGCTGGCCCCTTTCATCCGGCCTTCCACGGAGACAGCAGCTTTCCATTGTTTTTAGGTTCCTCTCGATTCATGTTGTTCCTGGGCTGCTTGGCTTCCACCCTGGAATTTCTGACCCAGGCTGTGGCTGTCGTGAGCCCGTGACAGTGTGCCATGGCTCTGAGAGGCAGAGAGAAAGGGACAGTCACCCAAGAGTGCATATCATTCATAGAAACAGTTCAGAGGTCACAAAAAATAATAGAGTCCTGTGTCCCTGGTCACCCAGCGTCCTTGAAGGTGCCTGTGTGTTATGCCTTACATTTCTGTTCCCTCACCCCACAAATATAAACACCATCATGAACACTGTGTTACTAATTTCCTTGCTTTTTAATAGGACAGTTTTATTACATACATGTGCTCCCTTAAACAACACATGGGTTGGGTTGTTTGTTTTGAACCTCATGTAAATTGAGTCATATGCATTTTTGCAGTCTATACTGGTCAAAACTATGCTTTTGAAATCCATTCATGCAGATGTGTGTAGAACATGGTCCATTCATTTTCAGTGCTGTGTAGTAGTCCATAATCATAACACTATATGATATTTCAATGTGTCCAGCTTTAGTTTTTCTTTCCTCTGTTGGCAGATATTGAAGTTGTTCCCTTTTTTCTGGTATGAACAGGTCTGTCTCCCAGAGGACAGGCACAGATGTGGAGACCACACCACAGCAAGATCTGATCTGATCATTTTATACTGTGTACATGTACTGACCTGTCACACTGTAAAATTGCTAGGATTCAATTAAAAAAAACTTATATTATAAAGCAAAATAATTTTGTCAGTTCTCAGCTGACCCTATTCCTGGTTGAGATTTCAGATCTTGTCTATCTATTTTCCAGCAAGCAAGAGTTTAGGGGATGGATTCTGTCTTCTCTGTCACATTTCCTGTGGATTTGTTTGTCTAGAAAAGAATCCCTTTCCCAGGGTTTGGTAAGGACTTTAGGGGGTAGCAAAACTGGCTGTGTACACACTCTCCTCTCTCCTCTGTATTGTAGATCCAGGCTGTGTCTCTAATCACACCCGACATTTATTCCCCACCACTTTGCTGGAGACCTGTCAGTCTTACCATTGATCCCGACAGCCAGCTTTCCAAACAACAGGGTCTTCTGCAGCGTTTACACGCACCCACTTCACCAGGTGTGGTGTTCCTGAGGTTTACACAGTCCACATCCCTGTCAAATGTCTGTGTGCTGCATCCAACAATTCCTGCAAGACAAATGAACATCTCCCACTGCGAGGGTCTATCTGTCACCTCTCACATAGACCCTTCCACACAAGCCATTCACTTAGGCAATCCAGGGTTGGAAACCTTATATCTTCCTGAGGAATTCAACCTTTCACTAGTTTTAGCTCTAGTAGTGCTTACTTGCTTCACACCCATTTTGATTAATATTAATAAAGCTGTGCCTTTTTCATTTTGGTTTTTACTTGCTGCTAGTCTATTCATGCAGCTACGTTGGGTAATCATGGATAATAAAAACACGTTTCCCAGATCTGGGGAAGTCCAAGATCAAGGCACAGCAGATCTGGGGTCTCCTGGGGCTCCTTCTCTGCTACCAAGATGGCAGCTCTGGCTGGTCCTTGCCCAGTGCCTGTCCTATAAGGGCATTGATCAGGACCTAATCACTTCCTGAAAGGTCGCACCTCTTAAACCATCACCTTGGAGCTCAAATTCCAGCGTAGGAATTTTGGAGACATACACATGTATATAGTTTAAATATATGTAGTCGTTCACACGTGTGTATGATTTATATACACATGAACATGTATGTCTATATATGTGCACACACACACACACACACACACACACACACACTGATGATCTAGATCCCCGAGTCACTGCATGCAGGGGCTACCCTGAGGTGTCACATTGCTTGCAGGAGATGCTGTGTGTGACACCGTAGCACTGTCTCTCCTGGTCAGCTTATTAAAGTCATATAAAGGAGAAAAATTACAATGGAAATTAAGTGAATGGAAAAATTAAAATAAGATAGGCTACTGTAACAACTCCACACTCTCAATACATGTTGCTTGGTTAAATCTACCCCTAGGTAACAGATACTCAGGTGAAGCTAAGAAAACAAAACCCGATGGTGAAGGAAGGTTGAAAAATGGAGGATTGGAATAAAGTCAACTTGGAAAATGCAAACCAGAAAAGAGGAGTAGGAGCAATGTCCGTACCCAACAAGATGTAACTCAGGACAGGAATGATGAAAGAGGAATAATCACGTTGATAAAACTCAGGTCACTGATATCGAACTTATTCTATTCCTGCCAATATTATGTCAAAATATAAAAAATGGAATCTAGACAAAATAGAAATGATTGAAAAACTCACAACACTGTGGGAGATCATCATGTCTTTTTCAGAAATGGAAATATGAAGAAATCTAAAGTACAACCAGGGTTTTAAGGTAGCAGGACTCTCGGGACCCAGGAGGCCTGTCCCCTGTTCAGTTCCTGCTCACTGCCAGTTCCTTCTCGGCCTCGGGGCCTGTCGCTCTCTGACCCCTCTTAGTGAAGAAGGTGCTCTGCTTTGCTTCCAGATACAAATGTGGTTTCAATTCCATGGGGGACCAGTACCCAGGCTCTTTCAGTCCCCGGCATGTCGGACACCTGACCAAAGTCATGCCTACTCCTTTCCCCTGCCTCAGAGGCCACCTAAATAAATAAATAGATAGATAGATAAATAAATAAATAAATAAATAGATAAATAAATAAACACAGAATAAAAACGATATCCTGGTGATTCACACATGCTCAGTCACACTGATAATTGGAAAAACAGAAATTAAAACAATGAAGGGATACATCAGGTTGAAAAAGGTGTGAACATCAAATAGATATCAATGAGACCGTGGAGAGACAGCTATGATCATGCTTTTGATGACACAGTGTGAAGAGGGGGCGATTTGACCATAGAATTAAAATTAACAAGCATGTAGCCTGTGACGTGGCGATTCCACCCGTCCACTCCAGCAATCAATGTATACAGACACACCAAGAAGGGCTTCTTCTGTAGTGATACTGGCAATAGGAAAATTTGAAAATAACCTAGGTGCTCAACGAAAGGGGAACTACAGAACACTAGGAAGCAATGAGGAAAGAGTCACATGGTCCTTCAGGGCCCAGGGTGGAGGTGGATACAGCCCCAGAGACAAGACACATCATTAAGGGAATGTTGCAAGACCATAGTTAAGAAGACAATTATGGAGGATTTGGAGACATTGATCCCCCAAAACCAACTTTCACTCCTATCTGTACCTATACATGCCACAGGTGCAGGGAAGTTGGAGCAGGATCCATACCACATGGGAGGCAGAGGAGCTATGTGGGGAGATGGGACTAGGGGACATTGGGGTCTCTTTTTGCCTTGGTGTTGTTTGAGTCTTTTACAACGAGCGTGTAGCTCTGTGATTAACAATGCAGTTTTCTAATTAAAATAGAAAAAGATGTAAATGTTAAGGCTCCAACTCCAGAGATTTTTTACTTGGATGGTTTTGGTGGGAATGGGTGGATCTTGATGGCTCCCCACGTGATCCTGACACTTGGGCCTGAAGAGTGCACAAGAGGGTCCTGGGGGCCACATGGTCAACTCTATATAACTCGGCTCCTTCCGTGTTTTCGGGAACATACAATTCTTTATTAAAATCACAGCTAAGAAACATTGTTTTAAATTGTGGGGCGCTGTTCTAGACAGATGCAGCTGCCCCTGGGTACCTGCGCAGGACTGGTAACCCTGTGGACACCAAACACCACGGATGCTCAAATCTTTTATACAAGACGGCACAGTACTTTGTCTGTGATCTATACGCATCCTCTGAACATTTTAAATCATCTCCAGGTTACTGAAATGGTTTTTTTTATACATATATTATTTAAGGAAAAATGACAAGGGAAAGAGGTCTGTACATGTTCAGTACAGATATGATTATTTTCTCCCAAATATTTCCAACCTGTGATTGGTTGACCCCAGTGATGTGGAATCCCAGAATCTGGAGACCTGGGTATAGTATATGGTTCCTAATAAGATGAGTTCCTATGCTCAGCGAACCCCACATGTTCCAGACGTTGGGCCTGTAGAAGAAAAGCATTTATGGTAGCTCCTGGTACAAATGTCACATGTGATGAAGCATCAATTACTATTAGGATGCCGCTGTCAGCCCTGTCCAGGGGACTGTGTTGCCCATCACTCAAACCCTTTGTGCCTTCTGCGTGGTGAAGCCTGGAGAAACAAGTATGGCATCCTGCAACCCAGAGAGACAGCTGGGGACCAGTCCACCTGGCAAGCAAGCCTCCTGCTCCCACTGATTAACGTCTTCATCCTTCCCCTCCCCACCCCCTAGTTGGCAAAATGTGGACTCAACGTTGTGCTTATCAGCCGGACCCTGGAAAAACTGCAAGTCCTTGCCAGGGAGATTGGTAAGTGATGCCCCAAAGAAGGGAGGTGCTCATGGAGCCCCCCAGCCCAGCCGGCCCCTGTCCTGCCTGTGGATTCCCAATCGGCCATCTGCAGCCTGGGGTGACCTTGGTGCCAGGGAGAACCCAGTTTATAAGGTGAAGCTCAAGGTCTAAGGCGCAGGCTCCGGCTCACCATGGATCCGTGGAATGGGGGAGGCAGGCAGGGGCTCAGGCACAAGTAGGTCCACCATCTTCTCTGACCCAGGGGCTTCATGCTTAGAACGACATCTGCTCACGCAGAGGTCCCAGCTGCTTGGTAGCTTCTGCGGCTCTTTTCAAAAGCAGAATCAGTGTTAGGGCCTTCCTGTGTCTATGCCTTGCTCCTTGCAGGAGGGTGAGTGATAAGGCTTCCTGGTGCTCGTCAGATTTTTTTAAAAGAAGATCTGATCAAGGGTTGCCATGTATGGTTGCGAGAGTTGTACACCGTACAACCCACAGAGGCAGCTTTTATGTCGTAATGTTTTATTAAGATGATTTGCTTAGAAGTGTCATTAGTTAATATTGACCACCTATTTCCTTTGGGGTGTTTGAACTTTAGTACTCATTAAGTTATTAATGAATAAGCTTTCTAATGCAAAGGGATGGGTCTTCAATTATGAAGATTTGTGAGGGCCGTGGCAGGCTGTCTAGGATCAGCCATATTTGTTTGGGGGGATTTGGGATGGGATGGACGTGGGAGTTGGGGCTGTGCAGTCACACCCAGAAGGCTCAGTGACCTTAAACTGTTGAATCCTGCTTTTGTTCTGCGTCTGGCTATTAGGAGTAACTTTTGCTCAGACCCAGATACTCTTGAGGGCTTTCCTCACAATGGCAAACTGTGCTTTTTATCATCCTTCTGAAAAGCAAGCAGTGTCTTCAAGAGAATCCCATTTCCCCAAACTGGGCCTCACGCTGGTCCTCAGCCACAGTGGGCCTCACTCACTCCAAAGGCAAAGGGATCTCACCAAGGAATGGCTGAAGTGTCTGAGGCTCTGTCCTCGCCTGAAGACCCCTCGCACAAGGCACGCTCACAGGACAGTGGACGGGGCGCGGAGCGTGGTGCCAGCAGAGTGTGGGTGCCTTGGGCCAGATGCTGGCTTCCCTGAGCCCCGGCCTGCTGTGGCACCTGGGGACAGGGCTGACTGCATGCAGGAGGGAGATTAAGATAGGACATCGCTTAGGCAAGGGCTCCAGTGCTGGACAGTCGGGGGGTGGTGTGACCCCGCGGAGGGGACCTGACCCTGAGCAGAGGTGGCAGCAGATCTGGCTTTGGCTGGAGTCTGGGGTCTCAAGCTCGAGCCGTCTGTAGTCACCTGAGGTGCTTTGGAAGGGACAGCCGGCCCCTCGCCTGTGGTCTGGGCCCCCACTTTGAGAGGCGTGGCATTGCCATTCTGCCCACTGTGGGGCGTTTCCTGCCCCCTGGGGTGACCCTGGAAGCGCAGAGCAGGTCCCAGATTGCCCACCACCCTCCCAGGGGGTATCCAGCGCTCCCTTATTTCCTGGGGGGCGTCTGGCTGTCCTCTTGAACGTCTGCTTAGGGACTGTAGGAGGGTCCCCGGAACTTCAAGGTCCAGAGAGGGACTTGCCGGCTTGTTCCTTAAACATCACCCCTTGGCCCTAACGCAGAGCGAAGCACAGGGAGCCGTGTGAGGGTGATCCAAGCAGATTTTACCAAAGATGACATCTATGAGTCGATCCAAGAGGAGCTGAAAGGCTTAGAAGTTGGAATCTTAGGTAAGTGCATTGCAAGATGCAAAGCTTGGGATGCGCAGTGAAAAGAATCATCTTTGGTGAAGCTCAAGAATTTCTTGGTAGCTTAAACCTAACCCACGACTGTATTTTAAGCTGTAGCATGAAAATGATTATTCTGCAGCCATCACAGGATTCAAAAATTAATATATGGTCGAGGGACGTGTCAGACTTCCACATTCTGACCTTCCAAACTAGATTTTTTAATATGAAAGTGAATTTTCTTTCACAGACCTGATGTTGATGTTTGATAGCAAAAAAACCATCCCAGAAACACTGACCTGAAGGAGTTAGGTCAGCAAACAGACGCAGGAGGTGTCGTCCACAAGGTGGTTGGAGAACTCACATCTTTTGCTTTCAGAACACAAGACAGTATTTTTCTGAAATGATTTATAGAGAAGATATCTTCTAGCCCCATGCCAAGTGCAATATTTGAAGAAAGTAATATTTGGTTCCTAAACTTCCTGCTGAATTTAAAAGATAATTACATTTTCACAAGTAAAAATGGGAAGCATATCACTGCAGAAAAATTGGAAAGGATTGGAAGACGTAGCCACATAAAAGAAATATGAATTTCTTTCTTTTTTTTTTTTCTTTCTTCTCCTTCTTCTTTTTTCCTGGACTGAACCCAGGGTGCTCTACCATGGAGCCACGTCCCTACATCTTTTTATTTTTTATTTAGAGACAGGGTCTCACTGAGTTGCTCCGGGCCTTGCTAAATGGCGGAGGCTGGCTTTGAACTTGTGATCCTTCAGCCTCAGCCTCCTGAGTTATTGGGATGACAGGCGTGGGCCACTGCACCCAGCTATGAATTTCTTAAACTCTCCCAAATCCAAGATAACATCTTGTTGTGCACTCTTCCCAACCTATATACATATTTTCCAAACTGGGATCATATGTACATGCTATTTTGTAACAGGAAAAAATCCACTTATATCACAAATGTCTTCCCGTGTCTATAAAATTCTAAGCAGCCAGAGTTTTTTTTTTTTTTTTTAATTTTTTTATTGGTTCCTTTTAGTTACACGTGACAGTAGAGTGTCTTTTGACATGTCATACCGACACAGGGCATAACCTCATATCTTGTGGTAGCAGCCATGGTTTTTAGTGACTGGGCTGCAGACCAACCGGCCCTGACGTGTTCCGCGGGCCTCCTGTTATGGACGACGTGTTTTCTGCCATCTGGTCTCCTTCCTGCGTCAAATCCTGTTGCACTGAGCAACGTTGTATATGGATATTTTTGTCCAGGTTTCTTCAGGCTCTTCTGACCCATTCTTGTCTTGTGTCTTTGGTCAGTCAACAACGTGGGGATGCTTCCAAACCTTCTCCCGAGCCGTTTCCTCAGTGTGCCGGATGAGATCCAGGTGGGCCATGTTCTTCCCTCCCAGGTACACAGGGAACACGATGAGCACAGGTGACTCTGTGTGGCTGGACGATCATTCTCTGGGGGCTCTGTGCCCTGCTGTATAGAAGCGTAATTCTGCCCAACAAATTCAGAGACAGTATGATGTACGTGGGAGCTGCCCACTCTTTGGCTCTAGTCTGTTTTCCTAGATAATAAGATTTATTCAACTTTCAGTGCGAGGGGGATACAGCCATCCTCAGTACCCAAGGGGGACTGGTTCCAGGGCCCCTGGGATATCAAAATCCATGGAGGGCATGGAATTTGCATATTACCTGTACAAATCATCCAGTATGCTCTAAGACTTCCCTTATAATGCCCAATAAAATACTAATGTCCTGCACATAGTTGTTTTATACTATTATTGCTTAGGAAATAAGGACAAGAAAAAGTCTGTATGTATTCAGTACGGGTGTAATTATTTTTTTAGTTGTAGTTGCTTGGACACAGTTCCTTTATTTTACTAATTTTTTGTGTGGTGCTGAGGATCGACCCCAGGACCTTGCACGTGCTAGGCGAGTGCTCTACCACTGAGCCACAACCCCAGCTGCAGGTGCAATTTTTAAAAGAAACGATTTTGATCCATAGCTGACGTGGAGCCTGAGAACAAGGAGGACTGATTGTGTCTGACTCAGACTCTGTGGCTGGAGGTGCTGTACGCTCAGTGATCTCGGCTCAGGCCCACGGCTGCTGGTGTGGTCAGGGGTAAATGTTTTGCATTGAACAGTCCTCAAAGGCAGGCCGTTGGCCATTCTCACGGCCCTGAGCTGTGAAGTCATGGGGTGCGCCAGCCCGAGCAGGCTGTTGTACTCCTGTCCCTCAGTTCCCTACGGGTCTCTGCAGCCCTGTCCCGTTGGCCCATGAGGCCAGGTGGCGGGGACACTGAAGCCCCTCCTCCCCATCCTCCTGTCTGGACCAAGGTCTGTTCTCTGCACTTCCTGTTTCTGAAACAAATCCGTGTCTCTGCCTTCAGCAAGTTCCATGATCATGTCTCTATGCCTGCATCTGTGCTTGCGTCTGTCTGTCCCTCTTTGGTCTTGGGTGATCCTAACAATGTCTTCACCTGTCCTCTCTGGTCCAGCACCTCTGACAGCTTGGACTGTATGACCATCCCCCTTGCTGTCTCCTAGACCCACACACCCTTCTTCCTTCGGTTGGAAATGGATCACAGGTGCTCCCAGACTTATGATGAGGTCGCCCCAATAAGCCATCACACACTGAAAATGTCCTAAGTAAAAACACACCTGACCCGGACATCGTACCAGCAGCACTCAGAGAGAGAGTGGGTTGCTCCCCGTGCAGCTGAGGGTAGATTGCAGCCACCATACAGTAGCTCAAGGGGGTGGGCCTTTGCACACCTGTAATCCCACCCCTACACTATGCCTCTGCACACCTGTAATCCCAGCATCCTGGAGGCTGAGGCAGGAGGATCACGAGTTCAAGACCAGTGTCAGCCACTTAGCGAGGCCCTAAACAACTCAGTGAGACCCTGTCTCTAAATAAAATGTTAAACAAAAGGACTGGGGATGTGGCTGAGTGGTTAAGTGCCCTGGGTTCAATCTCCCTGTATACCAGAAAAAGAGTATTGCGTCACATGTTGTTGCTGGTCGAGGGAAAAGATCCAAAATCAAAGTGTGTTTTCTACCACACAGGTGTTGGTTTTGTATCTGTGAAGGTGAACCATCCTAAGTCAGGAATCCTCGGTATCTTCCTGTGAAAAAATTTATTCCTCCTGATTTTTCCAGCAGACTCTTAATTGATCTCGATCTGGGCTGGGTGTGGTGGCGCACACCTGTCGTCCCAGCAACTCAGGAGGCTGAGGCAGGAGGATCTGCAAATTCGAGACCAGCCTCTAAGAAATCAAAAGGGCTGGGATGCGGCTCCGTGGTAGAGAGCCCTGGGTTCAATCCCTGGTTACACTCCCTCCCCGGCCCCAAGCCACACCTGGGTAGAATTGTAGAGTGACTGTCAGATGTCACTGGATTCTGGGGCTCCCTGGCCGGACGGCAGCCGGGAGCCTCATATGACGGCTGAGGTGGAGGCTCCCACCGGCCGGTGTCCTTTGCCCACTCGTGGTTCTCGAGCCCTGAACACTTCCTGGGACGGTTTCCCTGCTGCTCGGCTGATGTGTGGTTGTGATTTCTTATTTCAGAGCCTCATCCAGTGCAATGTCACCTCCGTGGTCAAGGTACGTGGTACACCTGTGCTAACTGAAACGTGGTGGCTGTTGGAGTTCGGAAGTGCAGGGGAAGTGCCCCCTCGGCCCCCAGGGGGAGGATGGCCTGAGACACAACCTCGAGACTGTCTCAGCCACGACTCTTCCTCTCCAGTATCTGCAGCCTATTTTCACATTCAGTTTGGTCACGCGTGAGGCATGTAATGCTGGGACTTGTTCAGAATTCCAGGGACATTTAAAAAGTTTAAACACTTTCTCTGATTTGAGGCTTCGTAAATAGAATAAAGTTCACTCTGTTGGGGGAAATGCCCGAGGGCTTGACTTAGGTTTCCTGGACTTTTGTGGTTCAATATGTATTTATTGAGTTGAAGTTCAAGGTCATCTATCCCATTGTCTTCTCTTCCCCATGGTTTTGCTTTATTTTATATATATATATATACAGGGATTGAACCACAGAGCCACATGCCCAATCTTTTTGTTTCATTTTGAGACAGGGTCTTGTTGAGTTGCTGAGGGCCTCGATAAGTTGCTGAGGCTGACCTTGAACTCACGAACCTCCTGCCTCAGCGTCTGAGCTGCTGAAGTTATAGGCGTGTGCCACCATGCCAGGCTGGAAATTCTGTATTTTGAGGGAGAAAGAGAGAGGGAAGGCACATTCGCGTTACTTTTATCACAGTGTGCTATTATAATTGTTCTGTTTTGTCCTAGGGGCTGTTAATCTCTTACCAGGCCTAGTTTATAAACTAAACTTTACCGTGGCGCATGGAGGGGTAGTACTATCCTTGATTTCAGACTTCCACTGAGGGTCTCAGAGGGTATCCCCACAGGCCAGTGGAGACTACTGTATTCAGATCCCAGCAAGGCTGCTAATTGGTTGGTCAGCACTGGGCAGGTTACCTAGCTCCCTGAACCCCAGATTCTGCACCTGTTACTAAAGCGTGCTGGAGCAAGTACTTAGGTACAGTCTGCCTGGGGGCCTTTGGCTATTCAGCTGCATTCTCAGTTTAGTGTGACTCCCCCAAAGCTACCCTATCCTATGCCTTTGCATGAAAAAGAAAGAGGTGCCCCTCTTGGGACAGTTTAGAGAAAGTTTCCCCTTGAGAATGGACGCAGTCTCAGGCCCCATGACTTGGTGGGTAGATGATACTTTTTTTTTTTTTTGTACTGGGGAGATTGAACCCAGAGATGCTTAGCCACTGAGCCACATCCCCAGCCCTTTTTATATTTTATTTAGAGACAGGGTCTCACTGAGTTGCTCTGGACCTTGCTGAGTTGCTGAGGCTGGCTTTGAACTTGTGATCCTTCCACCTCAGCCTCCAGAGGTGCTGGGATGACAGGCGTGCTCTATGGCGCCCAGCTAGATGGTGCTTTTTTGTGAATACAGTGTTTCCCCTTCCTCTGAGGGGTACAGTCCCCTCCCTCTACTGTAGCTAGCGAGTCAGTCCTGTGCTTTCAATCTGTAGTCACCGGGCAGCTGAGCACCTTGCTCAGTATACAAAGTGGACAACCGTGCAAGGCATCCTGGTGACCGCTCGGGAAGAGCAGGGGAACTGCAGCGATGAATGAGGTCTGATCCCTGATTTCAAAGAGCTGGGACCCTGGATGGAGAATAGGGAAGCTCAATGTCACTAGTCCAAATGCCGAGTATTGACAACGAGGGTGTTCGGCAATGGGGTCACTGTCAGCAGAAAGAGGGGCGATGGAAGCCGATCAGACACACACACACAGATCGTTTTCGGGAGGATAAGTGCTGCTTGTTTTCTGTCAGCATGCTGGAATTTTATAGTTTCCTGCTCCGTCATTACTGAGCACACACATTCTTTTCATGCTGAGCAATGGATGGCCGTGGGCAGCTCTCTGCTGATGTCACTTTAAGTTTTATATGTCCAGCCTTGTCTGCAGCCCTACCACTAGACCCTCCCACAGTATTTTACACACCGATCTTTCCATCTTGGGCTGTTTGATCATTTGGGTTTCCCCAAATGGATGTGACAACCTTCCGATTCCTTTAGCAGAGAAATGCTTTGATTTGTTTTTTTTTTTTTTTAAATTGTCTTATTTACTGACAGACACTAAGTTCCCTGAGTGACAAAGGCAAGTAATGAAAGGTCAGTGTCTCCAGATGCCAGGCCCTAATTGGCCTCGCTGGTTGGAAGCATGGCCGGTGTTGCCTAACGACTTCAAAGATGTCACCTGAAACCTGTCGAGCTCCCGCTCCGTCAAGGGCAGGGTCGGGGGAATGAGTTGGAGGGCAGGGGAGTGGGTGTGCGTTTGGGGACAGGAACCCACTCTATCCAAGGCTGCCTCTCCCGTTGGGACCATTCACCCAGCAAGGCTGGGGAGCTCGTATGGGAGACTTTGGGGATGGGCTTGTGTGTCCAGCAGGACTTATTGTCCCCGAAGAAGTTGAGAGTCAGGGATGGTGCAGGACACCCCAATACCCACTTCCTTCTCTCACCTGCCTCCAAACCCCACATCTCAGTGTCAGTCCAGGGTGGTCTAGAGAGTTCTGCTGCGCCCTCCCCATGGGCCCCCTTAGGGAAGCCATTATACAGAGTGTCTCTGAGACAGGGATGGGGGCCTGGCCTAGGGGACAGGAGCAGTGTCAAGAGAGAGTCCACTGAGAAGCTGCTGCAGGGCTCTGGATAGCACAGAGATGTTGGCAAAAATATGCTTGCTGATTCCCAGGTCCTTGATTTCTGTCCCTCTTTCTTCCACTGGAATCCTTTCTGTCTCAGACCTGCTTCAAGGACAAAGCCTGATTTCAGTACAGTTGTATTTTGAAGAACATTTTAGTCCATGGGCAGCCTCTTTCTTAATTTTTTTTTTTTTTTTTGTAGCAGGGATTGAACCCAGGGCACTTAAGCACTGAGCCACATCCCTAGCCCTTTTTATAATTTATTTAGAGACAGGGTCTTGCTAAGTTGCTTAGAGCCTCACTAAATTGCTGAGGCTGGCTTTGAACTTGGGATCCTCCTGCCTCAGCCTCCCGAATCCACTAGGGTTACAGGTGTGTGCCGCCACACCTATCTTTCTCTTTTAATTCTTAAAATGTGTGCCTTGTAATTATTTAGTAAAAAGCATTATTTATTTATTTATTATTTCACAATGCTGGAGATTGAACCTAGGTACTCATGCTAGGTGAGTGCGCCACCACTGAGCCACATCCCCAGCTCTTTTAAATTTTTTGGTTTTGAGACAGGACCTCACCAGGTTGCTTACAGTCTTACTAAGTTGGTTGAGGCTGACCTCCAACTTGCCATCCTCCTGCCTCAGCCTCCTGAGTAGCTGGGATGACAGGTGTGCACTACTGTACCTGGCAAAAAAGATCTTCTTTAATCAACACGTAGGCTTAGAACAAGCAGGGAAGACCTTTCCAGGGGTGGCAGGTTGGGATGGGGAAGGGACTTCTTCTTGTAATTTGCTCTGCCCACGGAGCTGTCACAGGCCACTGCAGGCTGTGTGTGCCTTGGCTGTTGCATTGAAGAGGTGTGAGTGAGATGTTCTCAGAGTCCTGCCCAGGTTTTCTGATAGTCCCCGGTCCTCGCTCATGGCTGAGGCATACGATGGCCAGCCCACTTTTGCCTGACGCCCAGAATGAAGAGTACAACCCTGGTGTAGTCTCTCGGCCACTGGCCAGTTCTCTAATTCTCTAGTCCCTTCATTTCTCAAGAGGACTTTAATGGCAACACAGTTTGCCATTTGTGTACGTCACCTCCCCTGGATACCAGCCAGACTCTGGGGTTGTCAGGATGACCTCTAATGAGGGCCAGCAGTTTTCAAGGTCACCTGGAAGATGAAGCTCTCTTCCCAGTTCCCTCTAGCACCTGCTTCCCCAAGCCCCCAGCTCACGGCGGCTCCTTCCTCGGTCAGGGCCTAACTATGGCCTTCTCTTCCAGATGACACAGCTCATTCTGAAACCCATGGAATCAAGGTAAGGTCACTGCTGGAAAACTGTGGAGTCACAGGGCCTCCCCGACCTGGTGGTCAACCCACCTGGGAACATGGGGGACAGCGTTCAACCCGCTGCTGCCTTAACCAGAGATAAAGACTAGGATGAGAAGACTCGGAGGTTATGGGGGAAAAGTAACATTCTGGGCCAGGCAGCTCCTCAGACAGACTCGTACTTGGAAGGTCAAGTGTGACGCAGGGGAGGGAGGGAGGCAGCAGCGTCAGCACACCTTGGATTAAACAAAATCAACTCATAAAAGAAGCCAGTTGGTCTGAGGCCAAGAGCATGTCTTAGTTAGTATGAATTTCAGCTTTGGTCAGAATGAAGACTCTGATAGACGGGTAAAAATCTCCACTGTATCAGTTCCTTCATTTACTGTGAGTTTATATCATCCTGTCTCTATACCTGTTGGGGGGCTGGTTTTTCCTCAGATCCTAAAATTAAAAGCAAATGGTTGATAGGTTTATCTTTCTTAGAAGGGGCTCTAACTTGTAGTTTTGTGCCCCCCACTCCAGTGCACCTAACTGGGAAGGACTGAGGATGTTGAATTTCAAAAAGGCAAGCAAGGTCCCTGGAGACTTGTGCAGAGCTGATGCACTGTCAAATTCTACCCGAGGGGCTGGGGTTGTGGCTCAGCAGTAGTGCGCTTTACTAGCATGTGCAAGGCCCTGGGCTCAATCCTCAGCACCACATAAAAATAAATAAATAAAATAAAGGTATTGTGTCCAACCACAACTAACTAACTAACTAGATAAATAAATAATTCTGCTGGAGATGGGATTCCACCATATGACACGTGACCTGTCTTGGGGTGACTCTCTGGGCCCAGAGAGACCTAGAGCTCGTGTGGTCATACTTAGGGTGGAAGGTCCCTGCCCCTGAGTCTTGTCTGATGGGTTGGCTGTCTGTACTTTGACATGGAGACCCTTGTCCTAGCAGATCCTTTGTTTCCAGTAAAAAGCCTTTAATGTCACACGGCTGCCGAGTGACACCACTGTGTGGTGTCCTCCTCAAGAACTTAGGGGAAGTTCAGCTCCTGTTCTTGGCAGCAGAGCTCTGGGCAGCCGTGGGAGCCTGGGGAGGCTGGAGTTGGACGGTGCTCACAGGAGACCCTTTGCTTTCCTTCCTCTGAGGTGGGATCAAGCTGCAAAGTAATGGAACCTTGCTTCTTTGCCTTTTAGGCGGAGGGGGCTCATCTTGAACATTTCTTCTGGGGTAGCACTCTGCCCGTGGCCTCTGTACACTCTTTACTCGGCTTCCAAGGTGAGGAATCAGCTGTCCATGCCTCTCCCTTCTGCTGCTGGGGAGCGGGGGTGTCCCAGTTGGTGCTCTGCTTGGGGTGCTCTGGCCGGTTGATGGAGCGTTGCCTGGAGGCAGTCTCATAGGTACAGGGCGAGCTAGCCAATGGGGAGTCTGTATGCAAATTATAAAGACACGCCCCCTCTGTGCAGCCAGCCCAGGGGCTGAGCCCAAGGGTCTCCTAGACTGGGGGTCCTGGCTCACTTCCCACTGACCCGGGTGACTTCCTAGCCTGGTGTTGGCAAGCCCTGGTCACAAAAACAACCCTGGGATAGCACGTGCCTTACCAGGAAGAGCATCCGCAGGAATTTAATCGGTTTGCAGTAGCCCTGGAGATATATTCACACTAAATGGCCTCAGGGATATATTATCCTAAAATACACATTCATGTTCCTGATGCTCTCAGGGCCTCTTCAGAGGCCAGGGGATGAAGTGCACATGCCCCTCATGACAAGTCACTGCAGTTTCCTCTACTTTCTCGTCCCCTGCCCTAAATTTGTCCAGGTATAATTGACAAATAAATTCGGCATGTGATCCACAGCGTGGAGCATATGCTTTGAGGAGTGCATAGAGTGTGACATGATTGTTAGCGTAACCTTGACCTCATGTACTTATTGTTCTGCGGGGAGAACACTGAAGATCTACTCTCTTAGCAACTTTCAAGTATATAATATGCTGTGTTATACAACAGATCTCTGAAATCTTTATCCTACGGAACGAAAATTCCTGCCCTTGGACCCACATCTCCTCCAGGCAGGCTGTGTCTCTGCAGCATAGCATCTCTGTGGGGGCCCTTGAAATCTGAGCAAGTTGGTTGTAGCAGAGAGAACAAGCTCTGGAACCTTACGTGATTCCTTTTCTTACTACAGGCTTTTGTGTGCACATTTTCCAAGGCACTGCAAGCGGAATACAGAGCAAAAGGAATCATCATCCAGGTGAAGTAGAGAGCTGTCGTCCTTGGGACAGGAAGTTCTGGCCCTCTGTGGGGCAGGGGCCACTACTCCTGCAGGACTGGCTGTGCATATGCAGCCAGTTGGGAGGTGGACTGGATGGATGCTCTGGGGATTCCTGTGATGGTTGCTGGAGCAGCTGCAGCCACTGTGATCCCACTTACTGCTGTGGTTTCTGCTGCCCTCACTTGTGCCCCAGGTGCTGGGGGAGGAAATGAGGCAGGGATGTGGTTGCTCAAAAACGCTGTGGCCCCCCTTGCCACCTCATGCTGCGTCAGAACAGAAATGGGGCTCTAGTCTGACCATCGTTTCTTCTCTGACTCAGATTCACAAGGTGGGCTTACATGGGAGGAACTGTGGAGACGGAACAAAGGAAAGCTGGGTACTTGGTCCGCTAGGGGGCAGGGGAGGGTCTTCCCCCAGGGGCTGCTGATCTGTGATGGACCCCAGAGACCCCAGAGACCCTTCACTCTCGGGCAGGGAGGGAAGGGCTGTCCTGGAGATCACCTGCTTCCACCTCAACAGGTGGGGTAGCCGCTGCCCTCTGCAGACCAAATGGGTGACATTCTGAGGTGCCGATGACCTACACGAGCTTGGTTCAGAGTTCAGGGGTTTCTAGAACCTAAAAACACAGAGGTGTTTACTTTGTGTTGTTCTGTCATTGTTGTCGGGGAAGAGGTTGGGTGACATCCTCATGGCTGCACACAGTGGTTTTAGATGAAGTCCCCCACGCGGGGAGCGTGTCAGCAAACCAGGAATGGAATATAGCTCATGACCCAGGCGATGTCGATGGTAGGAATTTGGCCAAACGCGACATTTTCCTGGCCATAGTGCGTGATTGTGACTGCCGTGTCCCTGTACCACAGTCCCCTTCTCCGCCCGGATGAGCCCGTCTCACCATGGGGGGGTCTTTCTCCCCCACACGGGGCTGTCCACTCTGACTCCCAGTGGGGTTGGCACTTCCTTTTGCAACAGAGCTTCTCCACACTGGCTAAGTTTGCTGCAGTCAAGAAAAACCCCTGAAATCTCCATGGCTTAGGACCACAAAGTCCCATTTTGCATGATGCTCCCCACTCACTGGGAGCCGGCAGAAGGCACAGCTCATTGTGTTAATGATGGGAGGCTGCCATCTTGAATGCTGTCATTTGACCCATCAGAGTTGATGTAGCCTGGATTCTACAGGATCTTGCTTTGGCAATTAAGTGCTGTGGCCCAACATCCCCAGCCCTTTTTTTGTATTTTATTTAGAGACAGGGTCTCACTGAGTTGCTTGGGGCCTTGCTAAGTTGCTGAGGCTGCTTTGAACTTGAGATCTATCCCCCTGCCTCAGCCTCCTGAGCTGCTGGGATTCCAGGCACGTGCCACTGTGCCCGGCCTCGGTCACTTCTAAACATGAACAAGTGCCCTAGCCACCTGCTGCTCCCTAGCCATGGGACACTCAGCATCAACTTAATCTTGATTCTTGTGGACCAGAGGTACTGCAGCTGCCCAGGGAGTGGGTTCAACAAGGCAAGGGAGTTGGGAGGAGATGGGGTGGGAGAAAGGTGCGTCTTCCCTGATACAAACCCCAGAGCTGTCCTCCTAGCAAGTGTGAGAAGGCAAAAGAGCTGTGATCTTTCAAAAACCACAGGATTCTCTAGGGTTGGTGCTCAATAAATGTGTGTCAAATCAATGTGGACCTGTGTACCGCAGGCATGGGTTTGAATTCGACCCCTGTTCTGCTCTTACCCCCTGAGCAGTCTTAGCTCATTTAAAATCTGAGAGCCTCAGTTTCCCATCCATCAACAGGTTTATAATAGCGCCTGATTTCTCTGGATTAATCACGAAGATCTAATGACTAAGTAAATGTGCAAGTTTAACCGTATTTACTGAGCTCCTCTTTTGTATGCCTTTCCGTACCAAAAGCTCACTGTAGGAATGAAAACACTTATTACTATTTCCCTATCTGAAGTCTGGGTTTGACAGTGCTCCTGATAGTTCCCAAAGAGGAACATTTTGAGGTCCCTGGATGAAAAGTGTCAAATTAATCAGAGCATTGATTTCCGTAAGAACCAATTCAATTGGATGGGTGGACACATAATCACGTTCAGTTATAAAACAAGGTAATTTCAGATGGGATGAGAAGGAAAATAAAACTAGGAAAAGTAGCCTGGATCTTTTTCCTTCTAACGATGCCAGGGTCTCTGATTCTGGGGGGAAGTCACAAAACCCCAGATTGGGTCCTCACGCCAGGAGCAACGGCTGTGGATTCCAGGGCACACGTGTTACTCTTCTTACTTTGAAAGGAAAGATTATGACGTTTGTGCAGATCATGGTGCCAAAGTGGGGTGTGAGAGTGGGACTCCAACATGCTTTAAGTTCTTCAACTTTGGTCACATGGATTAGAAATTATTTTCTGAGACGAATATCTAATATTTATCTAATAGCTAATGTTTCTGATTAAATATCCAACATCCAGTTCAATTTGAATTTCAGATGAGTATGAATGATATTTTGCAGTAAGTGTGTCCCATGCCGCGTGTACACGATCACACTGAAGTTGATTGGTTGCTGGCCTGGACTTTAGCGTTTCCTGTGTTTTCACTTGCTGAGTCCAGCGTCCCTGTTCCCAGGTGACGGAGCCTTCTTGGTCATGCATGCTTCTGTCTTTATCTCACCCTGTAGGTGCTGACCCCGTACGCGGTTTCCACCCCAATGACCAAGTATCTGAATACCAACATGGTCACCAAGAGGGCCGATGAGTTTGTTAGAGAATCACTGAATTACGTCACGATGGGAGATGAGACCTGTGGCTGCCTGGCCCATGAAGTCTTGGTAACCCATTTCTTCTTCTCTCCTTGAAACCAGACAGGAGGGAGGGGCCGGGTGTGGCTGGTCTTCCTTGCTGTTGGGACACTCAGCCCTTCTCTCTCATGGCACCCACATGAGGCCAGGGGCTGTGCTGCCACATGGTCACAGCCAGTGAACGGGAGTCTGTGGCGAGGAGGGGACAGGCTGGAGGCCTGGCTGCTCGGTCCTCGGGGAGCCCAAAGCTCCTTGGACGCCTTGCTTTTCCCCTTGGGATGGAAGAGGCTCCCAGGAGCTCTTGGGTAAAAAGGACCAGGACTCCCGGAGCTTCCACGCGGGGACTGCTCTCTTCCTCGGCTCTCTGTTCTAGTCGACAGGGAACCATCAGCCCTCCAGGGGAAAGAGAGGAGGGCCATTGTGACTTGCATCATTTGCCGATTTCCGTGGTATAAATATCCCACCGTGACTATCAAGCACGTGAACCGAGGAGAGGTGCACACCGTCAGCCCCTGCGAGCACGCACGCCTCAGTCCAGCCTGCCTCGAACCCCGTACGATATGGAAATGAGGTTCATGGCATGTGGCATTGGGGTGCTTTCCATTTCTGGGCTGCAAGACCAACATAAAAAGCCCAGGGAGGCTGAGCATTGCGACTGATACTGAAACACACGTGCACACACACACACACTCACACAGACTCACACACACTCACACTCACACACACACACATACACACACACAGAGCCAATGTAGCTTTGTTTCCAGCCCCCTCCAATTTTGGTTATTAGTCTCCTCTGTCTCCGCCTCTTTCCTCCACCTTCTTCTCATCCCTGTCCCCTCTATGGCTATCAGCTTTTCATGGATGCCAGGGGCTTCATGGCCCTGGGCACCGTGTTCCCCATCACGTACCTCCTGGGACACACAGAGACTTTGACAGGAGATACTGAACTTTCTTAACGCATTGCTTGCCTTTTCCCGCGGAACCCTGGCACTGTGCAGAATCACCAATTTAACCCACGCTACACAAGGGACATTTGGAAAGAATGTTTAAGGGAAGAAAGAATTTCCAGGCTCTGGTTCGTCTTTAGAACCCTGTAAGGGGTCCACAAGGGGCATTGCTGGCCAGTTCCTGAGTGGTAATGATTTATGTCTGGGGCAGGTGGGCAAAGCATGTTTCCTCCATCTTGCAGAATAAAGTCCTGCTTCCTGATGTCAAAAAAAAAAAAAAAATCTTTATTTTTCCTGTCGTTGGTCTAGTTTTCCTCCAGGTCTCCATTTGGCTGCAGGAAAACTAGCCAAATGCCAATGAGTTTGGACCCGGTTTCATCTGATCACAGAAACCGGCTGTTCAGGAAGCGATCACACAGAGAAAAACGTTGTGTGTACTTGGGAGCCTCCCTTCTGGCTGCCTTTCTTACTAAAACGACGTTGCAGAGAGGAGTCCAGGGATTCAGGCTGGTCCTAAAGTGGGTGTTGATGGCTTGACCAGGGCCTCCCAGCTACCGAGGGCCGTAGACCCCTGAATCTCTGTCACTTCTGCTGTCCATCTGCAGCTTTGGCTCACAGAGGCCCTCCGGCTTGCATTCTGCATCGGCACCAATGTGGGAAAGTGCAAGCAGCTGTGTTAAGAGGACACTAATAACCATCCCAGCACTCACCTCACCCTGCTGACATGATTTTCGGGGTTGTACCCCAGCAGAGTGGGGAAGGCAGTAGCTTCTCCTTGGTCTTCAGTGTCAAACTTACTTATTTATCACACTTCTCTGTTTTTACCCCGATTTCTCTAGCCCCCAGGATAAGCCCAGAGGCTGCACATAGGGGAGGGCACATTCTTACCACTTCTTAATCTCCTCCCATACCCAGCCTCTCCAAGGCAGGAAAGGTGTAGACCTCCTGCATGTGTTCCTGGTGCCACCGCCTGCCGGTTTCCAGGGTTAGCCATCTCCAGAAGGTGTGACATCCCCTCCACCTTCTGAACTCTGTGCTCTTAGTCCTCCAGGACATCCTAACTGGGCTCCATCGCATCTGGAAAATGTGTCCTGGGGACCATCGCGTGTGATGCTGTTGCTACACATCTTGCTGCGTGGGCCGGTCCTACATGTCAAAAGTGGAATGTTTTCCTGGCCATTCTCTTTGGATTTCTTAGGGAACAAATTCTCATCTCTTAGGCGGACAGATGCTTAGCATAGGCTAGGAAAGAGAAAGTTTTGTGCCCGGAGAAGCAGGAGAGAAATGAAAATATGTTAATCGTTAAGATCAGTTGGCCCTTGTTAGGATTTAGGAAGATCATCGAATCTAAAGAGATGGGTAATTGCACTGAATCAACAGTAAACAGCAACCTTTCTTTTACCAAGAGGCAAGGCAAAGATGGCATACTGGGTTCCCAGGAGGAGGTTAAGGCAGGCACCAGGCCAGTCTATGTCAAGGTGGCGGCTCCGGCTGCTACCTGGCCCTCACCATCTCGGGAGATCATGCTTTATGGATTCCCTTTTACAATTCAAGAAAACTGAAGCTCAGAGCTGAGTCCACTGGCCCCAGACCCCCCAGCGGGCAGCGGTAGTGCTGGATGTAGGTCCACTTGTGCCCGATGGGGCAGACTTTCTAGTTCCTTCTACATGTCCCCTCCAGCTCAGGAGGGGATAGACAAAAGAAGGAGACGAGGAGGGATTGTTTTGGAACGCTTTCAAGGGGCCTGGAATTTTAATTAATACATCCATTTTTTCATGGCCGAGCTCACTGATCCAAAACATTTAGTTCAAGACAAAAGCTAATGGGAGGGCTTGATTTTGCTGTGAGACCAAAAAGCTCTAATTGGGAGAAAGTTCTAGAGGAAGGCATTGGGTTGATTCAGTGATGAGGCCAGTGGAAGAGTTCAACTTGGCTTCTCAGTAGCACAGGTCCGAGGAGCTGGGCTGCCTGAAGTCCCGCTGTGTGGAGAGTGGGTGGGCCCAGGGGCGCTGGACTAGCAAGAGCACCCTGGGGGCAGACGTGGATCCCAGGTTCAGGCCTTCGCGTAGGGCTTCCTCTCCTGGTAAGAGCAAAGCCCCTTTGCTACTTGCTTAGTATCAGCTGACGGGCAGCATTTCTGATCCTTGGAATCGCCTTTTAATAGAATCGAGAGCATGGCGGCCCCCTGAGGTCTTGTCACAAGACCCTAAAATTTCAGAACTTCAATAGTCAGAAAAAGCAATTCTTGAAGACGGTGACTATAAATGGAGGGGTTTGATTTTTAATTCTGGGCTCCCTCTTCTCCAGACACTCACAGTTTTCTGTCTGTTAAAGGCCAGCTTTCTCAGCCTGATCCCGGCCTGGGCCTTCTACAGCCGCGCCTTCCAAAGGTTCCTGCTGACCTGCTACACGGATTACCTGAGGCAGAACGTCAGCACCAGATAGTCCCAGACGCCCAGGACCCAGGCGCCCTTGGCTGGCCTGCAGGGACCAGAGGAGCTGGCCGCCTGCCCCACCGGAGCCGGAGGAGCAGGGACTCAGAGGACACACTTGTGTGGGGCCCTAGAACTCAAGTCTGGAGATCTTTGGGAAAACCGTGGCCTAAAAACACACGTTGTAAAGGGGTTTCTGAGGTTTTATGTGTAAGGGGGGGTGTGGATGTCACTGGCGAAGGGTCTCAGGGGGCTTATTAAATAAACACAGTGAGAAGAAACCTTTGATTCTTGGAATATTGAAAACAATTATACTGAGTAAATGACTTTGACAGCTAGGTACAAAATTCAGAAATCAAAAGAATATCTGAGGTTACTCAATTTTTTCAGGACTTCTGTTGTCTTGGAGGATTCACAATTTCTGAAACTGGGTTCCTCGGAGACCCAGGAAGTTGGATGGGGGAAAGCACAGGGGCAACACCTGTATCAGACCAGTTTCTTTTCCCCAGCCCCCATTTCAACACATGGGGCACCGGCTTTATCTTTTATATTAATACTTGGGTTTCTATGGAAGACTGCGTGTGTAAAAATAAAAACAGAATATGTTCCTAAAAATAGTTTAAAAGCAATCACTCTAATGCAAGAATCACTGACCATAGAAATGGGGTACTAGCTGTAGGGGTGCTGGGGACACCTGGGTGTGTCAGCACTAGGGCTGGAATCACCTGAAGGATTGTGCCTTTACACAATCTGTGACTGAGGGGTGGTTAGTGGGGACCCCAGCTGGGCTGCCAGATGCAGCAGCTATATGTGGCCCAGGTGGCCGGGTTCTAAGCACATGCGTCCCAGAGAGAACCAGGAGGGAGCCAGCATAGGGGGTCATATCACGATGAGCCCTCCCAGATTCAGCAGGAGGGGACCCCAAACTTTCTTCTCCATGGAAGGGGTATCACATATGTAATGGGGGGGCCGGTGGAGGAAGCTGGGTCCTGGCCCCCTTTGGAAAATGAAATGTGCCACGCTAGTTAATTTTTGCCTAAGTGTTTGTCCTCGCATATGAATTTTGATGAATCACTTGGTCTTCCCATTAGTGATAAAGTAACTTATAAAATATAGGCCTCGTGTTTCTGGAAACTTCACTCAAACCCTGGTGAATCTGTGCATTGGGAAGAGCCTCCGTGTGCAGGAGTTAGGGTTCTTCAGTTATGCAGCCCAGGGCCAGCCTCGAGAGCTAAGCCTGGGAGAGTTTTAAGAGCTTCTTAAGAGCCTTTAAAGAGAGAATTCCTTTGTAGGTCCTATAATTTGGATTTTTAAATGTCCCCTGAAAGTCCTCAGTTTGGTCTCTGGTCGGTGGCTCTGTTGGGAGGTGGCAGAACCTTTAGGGTGTGGGTCCTTGTAGAAGGAAGTCGGTCCCAGTGGCAGTAGAAGGAGAGGTTGGGACCCCTCCAGCATCTTCCCTTTCTCTCTCTGCTTCCCGGCCACCAGGAGGGGACTGTGCTTTACCATCTGGTCTCCACCAGGATGTTCTGTCTCACCAAAGTGATGGGGCCCTGGGGCCAAGTGTCGCTGGACTGCACCCTGTGAAACGGCAAGCCAAAATAAATCTTTCCTCCTTTTAAATTGATTTTTCTCACACGTTTGGTCACAGCAACGAAAAGCTGACTAACACAACAGCAAAATCCCCCAAACATGTATGAAACTGGGGCCAGGAATGCTCTGTGTTTTAAGATCTTTAACCCCATCACCCTCGTATGAGATGAAGGCCAACACGTGTTGAGTGCTGATCCCTGTCAGGAACTACAAGAAGCCCCCGGCAACTTAAGAAATAGGTGCCATTACTGCTGCTTCTGGTTTACAGATGAGGAAATGGAGACACACAAAAGTTAAGTGACGTGTACAGATTTGCCTTCACAACGGGGGTGGGGGGGGCAGAGGTGGGATTTGGATGGGGTCTTCTCCTCTCCGTCCGCACTCTCCTAGGCAAACACACCACCGTGGCACCTGTCCGGGCTGAAGGTATTTCTCTGTAATCAGTGGCAAAGGATGAACACCATGCCCCTGCCGTGGGTAAGTGTCCCCAGGTGCTGTGCCTTAGGGGCTTGTTCTCCAGCCTGGGGCACCTGGGGAGGGGGTGGAGCCTTAGGAGGTGGGGCCTGGAGGAGGAAGTTGGGTCACTGGGGGTGTGCCCTAGAAGGGCCCCGGGGTCGCTGTTCCTTCCCCTCTCCCTTTGCTGTCTTCCTGTGTCACTGCCTGCTCTCACCACGATGCTCTGCCCCCTCACAAGCCCAACGCAATAGGGCCTGGTGGTTGTGACTGAAGCCTCTGAATCTGTGAGCCAAAATAAACCTTCCATCCTCCTAAGTTGACATCTCGGGTGTTTTGTCACAGTCAGGGAAGGTGGACGCACCCCCAGCTCCAGCTCCTTCGTCTTCACGTGTCACGGAGACGTGGGGAGGAACAGGCTTCCGCAGCCAGGCCCACCTTCTGCATCTCACCACCCACCACCTTCCAAACTCACCACGGACTGAGAACCACTCAGGCAGAGGAGGCTGGCAGAGGAGGCTGGCAGGCGTGGCTGGCCTTCACTTCCTTAGCAGAGGGCTGGGCTCTTGTTTCTCACCGTGGAGGCCGAGGTCTCCCAGGAGGAGCATGGGAAGCTGCAGCTGGGAGAGACGTCCTTCTGGCCTTCCATCGGGGCTGCCTCCCAGGAGGCCAGAGGCTGGGGAGTCCCTCAGACAACGCTGGTAGCCGGGAAACGAGGTGAGGAGGGGTCACTGGCTGCTGAAGCCGGGTGTTCCCTGGGGGATCCCCCTTTTCCTGCTCTGTGGATGGGAACCAGAGTGGCCCCTTCAAGGCCTCCTGAAGCCAGAGCTTGCCAGAGACAGCAGAAGACGGCCATCCTGGGGCCAGCACGGTCTTCATCAGGCTGGTCTGCTCCTGAGGCCCAGAAGGGTTGGCCTTACTGTCCTTGACCCACTGTGCCAGGGGGTGGGGGTGGGGCAGCCGGGCGACTCGCTGATGCCCTCTAATGGTGCGGGGAGGCACTGTCGGCCATTCCTGCCTCACCCTGCAGAAGACTTAGAACAGACAGACTTGGGGGAAGAAATCCCTCATTTTTCCCCTCCAGTTCTTTTGAACGGCTGAATGTGTGTTGTTTTCCGGTTTCATCCATGCCATAACGTGTGTTAGCACTCAATTCCATTGTATGACTTCCTTGTTTTCTTTATTAATTCATCAGTTGATGGACATTTAGGCTGTTCCACTTTTCGGATCTCATGGGTCAGGTGATGTGGACATTTTTGTACAAGTTTTTGCACAGAAGTTTCTCTTGGGTGTGTATCTGGGAGTAGAATCGCAGGGTTGTGTGGTTCTAGAATCGCAGGGTTGTGTGGTTCTCTGTGGAATTTTTTGAGGCACTGGGGACCGTTTCCCAAGGTGGCTGAGCCACCTGACTCTACCACCAGCAGGCAGGGGGCTTCAGTTCCCCACATCCTAACTGGGTCTCACTGTGTCTAGACCTCGATCCCCCATGGCTGATGATGGTGAGCACCTCTCCTGCCTTAGGTGGCCGTTTGTGTATCTCCTTTAGGGAAATGTGCACCCAGATCCTTGGTCCATTTTGGAAGCGAGCTTGTCTTTTGCTAATGTGGGCGCCTCTTTCCGTTGCTACGGATTCCTGGGTGAAACATCCCCCGGTTGTTAAAGTTCCTCACACTTTCTGCCACACGGTTTCTGGAAGAGCTCTGTAAGTGCCACCCGCGTCTTCAGCAGTGCTTCTCGACTGGTGGCCGGGGTGGGGGTCAGATTGTGCTCCAGGAGGCATTTTGCAAGGTCTGGACACATTTTTGGTTGCCACACCTTGAGGAAGGAGAATGCCATTGGTAGACGCCAGGGATGCTTTTGAAAATGTTCTGCAAAGTACAGGAGAGCCTCTTTCTTCCCCTGGCCCAGAATCAACTGTCCCCAAATATCCATTGGTGAGAAACTTCAATCTGAAATGGACCAGGTGCCTGTCCGTATATTCTCGTTCTCCTCCATCCCTTCTTGGTTTTAGGCTTATGTTAAATCTTGCCTGATCAAGGGATTAACCATTATCCTTTTAAATTATTCACCTTTGGTCCAGATGACGTCTGTCACTAAAATCTAGTGTGATGGGTCCCATCCACTCCCAGGAGTACTCGTCAAAGCCCACCAAGAGTGATGTATTGCTGGGCCCGTAGCAGGATACTGAAAGCCAAGGAGGCATTAACTAACCAGATATCATGATAGCAATCAGTTCCTACTATTTATAACAGCTGATGTGTTATATATAGATACGTACATTCACTCTTCACTGCACACAGTGGAGCAGGTAGTGTATTAGGCTCAAGTTCACAACTAGTGTATCAGGTTTAAGTTCATTAGGTAATTGTATAATAGAGACTCCAACAATAGCTTCAACAAGGAAGGCACATAAAAATCTTGAAGTCAGCAGTCTGGGGCAGCCATGCCAGCTCTGTTTCATGAAGTTTTGAAATACCAGGTAAACCTCTGCTCCATTTCTATCGTGTCAAGTTTGTATGCTGCCGGAGCACCTGCCAGTCACAGGATGACTTAATCAGAACCAAGACAAGAATCCATTAGGAAACAATGTAGGTATTTGGGAACTGTTAGAACAGGTGGCCCAGAGCAGACGTCCCCTAGTGCTGGCTGTGGCTTTCAGAGCTCAGCTATGCTGACCCCACTCCAGGGCACAGTTCAGACCCTCTGGAGACAGCACCTGGGAACGTGTGCAGCAGAGACCCTCGCAGCAGCAGAGAGTGGTCAGTTCATCAGAAGATTGGGTAAGGCCGGGAATCACAGGAGGTAGGGAACAAATTCCTTAGACACTGTCCCTTAAACGTCATTGTGGGAAATTCCAAATACAGGCAAACTTACCAGACACAAGACACCCCCGTGTCCTCACCGGGGTTTATCAGTGCCCAGCCTTCGTCCATTCTCATTTTATCTGCAGCTGCATCCTTCTCCCCACCC